TTCTAATAAAAGTTAAGTGCTTATCCGAAAAAAAAAAAAATGTATAAAAAATCGGAAAAAAGAATACATATTCTTATCACTTTTAAAAGTATAAAGGTAGCTGTTACTTACGTACTTACTCCATGGCGTTACAACCCTTCTTGGGTTTTAGCCGACCCGACAACATGCCTCCACTGTTTTCTATCTTGAGCAACCTCCATCCAATTCTCCACGCCCATAGTGCTTAGGTGTCCAGCTATACTATCTCGCCACCGGAGACGAGGGCGTCGGCGTGGTCTCCTTCCAGTTGGAACTTCCTCCCACACCAGTCTTACTGTTCGTTCGTCAGAATGTCTTCTGAGGTGTCCTGCCCATTGGAGTCTTCTGGACTTGGCGTCTGGTTCTTCGAGCTCTTTGTTAGTTCTTATCCTATATTGTCCTGATGCTTCATCTAGCACAGGACCAAAGATCTTCCTTAGGACTTAGACTTTCCCAAACACATAGACTTTCTTTGTTTGCCTTTGTTATCGTCTACGTTTCGTTTCCATGCAGCACAACGGGTCGTATGCTTGTTTTATAGACCTGTATCTTCGTACTTCGTGTTAGTTGTTTCAATTTTATAAGGTTTTGGACGGCAAAAACATATCTGTTGCCGGTCTGAATCCTATTGTTTATTTCTTGTGATCCGTTATTGTCTTCAGTTATTGTTTTTCCAAAATACTTGAATTCTCTAACGCGCTCAAAGTTAAAGTCATCGATCGTGATGTTCTGACCGATTCTGTCTCTGCTTTGGTTATTGCGGCTCATATACATATATTTCCTCTTGTTTTTGTTGATTTGGAGCCCCATCTTCTCTGCTTCCTTCTCGAACCTCACGAAAGTCTCCTTCATCCTTAATCGTGTGTTTCCTATTAGATCGATATCGTCTGCAAATTCCAGTAGTAAGTTTGGTCCTTCTCGATGAAATACTCTATTGGGTTTTTCGATTCTTGCACTTCTGATTATGTGCTCCAGAGCTAAGTTAAAGAGTTGTGGTGAAAGTGCATATCCCTGTTTTAGTCCATTGTTTATTTCAAATGTCTCCGAGTATTGTTGTCCAATTCTGACCTTACATTGTAACCGTTCCATACACATCCGTATCAACCTGACTAGTTTTTTTGGAAAGCCAAGTTCCTGCATTGCTGTCTACAGTCTGCCCCTACATACTCTATCAAATCCTTATTTAAATCTATGAACATCTGTGAAGCTCACGATCAAACTCCCAGCATTTTTCCATTATCTGTTTTATTGTAAATATCTGGCCAATAGTCGAGCGGCCCGGTCTAAATACGCATTGATAATCTACAACGATTTCTTCTGTGCATGTTTTGGTTCTTTCTAGCAGGATGTTTGCAAGGATTTTGTAGGTGGTGTTTAGGAGTGTTATTCCCCTGTAGTTAATACATTGCTTTTTGTTTCCTTTTTTGTGTATTGGTACAATAACCCCTTCTTTCCATTCATCTGGCATTATTTCTTCTCGCCAAATGTCTTGAATTAGTTTGTATATAGAACTGTACAACGCTTCTCCTCCATGTTTTAGGTAGTCTGCGGGTATACCATCGCTACCTGGTGTCTGATTCTTTGAAGGTAGCGGTTGATATTCCATTATTATTCTTTTGTTCTTGTTGGTGTAAGTAAACTGTCAATTCGAATCGAAACGTTGTTTTCTGTTGTTGTGTTGCTTCAAGACGGAAAATCACTCAACAGTTTTTAAATAAAGTAAAAATTCCTGTCATAGATTGGCTAGCATTGAGTCTAGACACAAACCCAATCGAAGATGTTTGGGACATGCTTGGGCGAAGGATACGAAGTCGTGCTCTTGACTCTTTAACCTTAATCCTTTTCAGCCCAAATTTTTTTTTTGAGTAAATTTTGTTGAAAAAAATTTATGTTTTAGAAAATAATACAAGAAAAAATAATTATTGTTGATAGCTTTTGCAAAAATTTTGCATCCTACAGTCTGCAAACTTAAAAAAAAATTGATCCCATTTGGAATCATCTGGCATTGGTGGTACCTGAATTATGTCTGGTAAAAAATTGACTATAATAGGAAATACGTTTATTATTGCACTTTATTAACAATTTAATTTTGTACATGGAAACTGTAAAAACAATTTTTATTATTGTTTAAACATAAAAAAACATTGCACTTAGAACATTTTATTCTAGAGTAAGACTTTATACATAATTTGCACCTTGTGCGATTTTGATCATGTAGCGGCCAGTGTCCTACTTCATCAAATCGAACATCTCGCACTGGTGCAAGATGCAGTAGTTGTCTCTTAGTTGGTGTTTTCTCTTGAGAAGGACGTCCTCGCTTCCTTGTGTCTGATTTTCCAGCTTTTAGTAACGCATGTCCAACTTGAGATTTGAATTGGAGAAGGGGGATGTGTTTCACTTGTTTTTGTTTGCAGTGTCTTCGTTATAGTAACCAGGAGTTGACAATACATGTATCAATAAGATTAAATATTATTCTCAAATAGAATCTTTTTGGCTTGATTTTTATACTATATAGTTCCACAAGCATCTCATGCAAATCCACACCCCCCATCGAAATGTTACATTCTTTGACAATTGCTGGCCGTTCGATGACTACATAGGTTTTACTCTTGTTGCACCGTCTGTTCACTTTACCAAGAGGATATTTTCCTATATAGTTCGATGCTAATGTGACAGACTTATTGTCATACCATTTAAGAGCAGCAATATTTTTTTTGCTGTCTATTTTTACATCAGAGGATCCACGACCTTTTGCCATTAGAACTTTGTCTTCTAAAAAACGACACCCTACCAGCCGCCCACTTCTTACAGTCCCCGCAGCAAGGAAGCCCCTTTCTTTCGGAGTAACAAGTAGATTATAAGATGTGAACCAACTATCAGTGAAAATCTTGAAATTCATGTGGTTTGGCAGATTTCTGACCAACTTCAGTACTATTTCCTCACTAATTCCAAGACCTGATTCATCTTGTACTGTCCCTTTTCCCACATATATCTCAAAATCGTATAGTATGCCGCTGCGTCCTGCTCTTGCAAAAACCTTTATGCCCCATTTATGAGGTTTATTTTTTATATATTGCTTTAGGTTGCTATGTCCTTTGAATGGTATAATAAACTCATCGATACTGTTGAATTCTTCAGGTTCTATCTTATTCATATTTTGCCGAACTTTTTCAATGAACGGTTTTACTTTATATAATTTGTCATTGTTACTAGGCGAGACTTTCAAATTATCGTTGACGTGAAAATATGCTCGCAGTTTATCAAAACGATTACGTGACATGATCAGCTATCGTATTATATCGTGTTTCTTCTGCCCAATACATCAAGTTCATGCAATTACTTGTTCAATTACTTACCTTAGTAATGATTTGAAATTTACAGTGAATTGTTGATCGATATGTCACTTCGAAGTTTTACATTCAAATGTGACTAACGCTTACCAATAGAACTGCCAAATAAATTAGTGCAGCGGCATCTAGCAGGAAGGTGAAGCAACGCAATGTCGTTCGCCCAACTGATATAAAGTAGTTTTCTATGTCATTAGCAGAAAAGCAGAAAACATTACCATGATCCCAAATGGGATCATCTGACTGGAAAGGGTTAAATCAGTTACAAGAATTTCATTTAGAGGAATGCGAACTTATTCCTCAACAGGCCATTTCTCATTTAATTTTAGGCATGCCAAGGAGAATTCGGGAAATAATTCGAGCACGTGGGAGAAACATTCATTATTAAAATCAGTTTGTCGGGGCACATAATTTAAGTTTTCATTAATTGAGCTCCATTTTGTACAATATTTCTTCTTCTTCAAGTTCCACTCCTATCGGAGATTGGAAATCATTCTGGCAATTATAATTTTATTGGTTACTCGCCTGAATAGTTCAATTGAACTGCATCAAAACCATACACGGAGATTGCGTAGCCACGAGATTTTACGTCTTCCTACGCTTCTTCTACTTTTGATTTTACCCTGCATTATATTCCTTAGTAGTTCGTACTTTTCAACTCTCATGATGTGCCCCAAGTATTCCAATTTCCTGCTTTTTATGGAATTTAAAACTTCGCATTGTTTTCCTAGTTGTTCGAGAACTTGTTCGTTTGTTTTGCGATCTATCCATGATATTTTCAAAATACGTCGGTAACACCACATTTCGAATGCTTCTAGGTTTTTAATGTTGGATTTTTTAAGTGTCCAAGCTTCAACTCCATACATAAGGGTAGAGAAAATATAACATCGAACCATTCTTATCCGGAGCGATATATTGATTACAAAAATACAATATCTACTAAAATAAAGTACAATATTTACTTTAAATGCCAATGATCATAGTTGTCGAGGCATTAACCCAATATAAAAAAAATTACTTTACGTTTTTTTTCTTAATTTTTAAATTGTTATATACTGAAATAGTTCTTTGTTCAAAAGTTAAATTTTTATTAGAAATTACTAAAAACAGTTTTGTTTCGATTGTGTTTACGGTATTATAATAATAAAAGTTTAAACAAAATTCAAATTTTAACTCTCCGAAGATAAACATCTTTAGTAACAAAAATTATAGCAACAAACGCATCTGGCGAAGATATTATGCAGTCGTTTCCGTGCGATTCAATAAATGATAATTAAATTAAAAAATAAAAATTATATAAACTTGCTTTGAGGTAGGTACTTAAGTTCTGGTTTAATCAAAATAACCCGTATATTATGTTACAGTCATTTAATAAAAAATTAAATTGACGTTTACAAGATAAAGTACATCATATTTGAGAAACAATTTACAAGTTCTATAATTAGATAATTTGTACTAATTAACACCTACATTTCTATATCTACAAGCGATAGACTTCTAACTCTTTAGCTAAACATTATTTCATTTATACTTAATAAGATAGTTCAGAAAAAGTCTTTGAGAAAATACAAATTTAGTAGAGTATTTCCAATGTATAGAAAAATATGATTTTTGCATCTACTCTCTATAGTACAATTACAAAACGTGTAAATTTTCACAGGATTTTGATTTGCTGATGTCGTTTAAACATATTTTTTGCAAAATCTCTCTTGCAATGTTTAAGCTCAGACTTGTTTTAGAACCGTGTATTTTACTGTTATCCTTTTTTAATGTGGCTTTCTTCTTTTCTCGGGATTCCCTTAACCGAATCTGTTTTAGAATGCCTACCAAAAGTTCGTCGACATTGTGCTGAATTCCGCTAGATGTCTCTATAAACTTGCAATCTCTTGCCACCGCAAGTGCTTTCCCCTCTGAAAGTAAAACATTATATTCAGAGTAAACAAACTAAAAAACACTTATAGAAAATTGACACAGATACTAAAATTCTAGTACCACAGAATAATAAACAAACAGAATGCCCACTCTCCACGGAAAATTAAGTACGCGCATCTCCTTCGCGCAGACGTTCCGCCATGTTTTACGAGGATTTTAAAGGGAACCAGTGTTGTTTATGTGGTATGCATGGAAAAAAAACCAGGTTTATTTGACTTACGGCAATCATAGACATACTATACAATTATATTAACAGTTTTAAATATAATAACATAAATATAATATAATTAAACATAAATGTAAACAATTGCATAACCTCACAAATCATATGTTTGTGTCCTCCTAAAACATGGCGCGCGTGCTGAAAAACTTCAAAGGCGGCATCTGAGAGTGGCCCTTCTGATTGTTTATTATTCTGTGCTAGTACTAACAAAGTTACTTTAGTTTTGATAAAACACAAAATTCTCTACAGGCCAGAGCCAACAATTTTTCAGACCAAAAAAAAAGTCACAGGATGAAACCCATTGTAAAAGGAAGACTGTTAAAGTCTTTACATACTACCAATATTTCCTCATTATTATTGTTATATTATTAATAAAACACGAAAATATATTCTATTTAATTTCGTAATATCTCAGCTCCCGTGCCGGTCTCAGCTTGTGTAGAGGAGGGACACTGAACTGCATAGGGGTCCTTCAGTACTTTGTGCAAGACAGACAGGGTGGGTCCAGTCCAAGTCCTCAACCTCGACAAGGCGCGTTCTAATGGCTGATAGGGAAGGTTCCTGTAGATATGCAGGACAGGTATTAATAAGGCTTCGCCAAATAAGTACCCGTGGATCAACGGTGGACATGACAGGTCAGTAGCTGTGTCATTAGTGGCCCGTGGCTGAAGAATACAATTCTTGATAGGTGGTGTACCACAAAGTCGCTGGCGAGAATCGAAGACTGATTTAACTCGCAGTGTGATACTTCGCAGTGTGATACTGCGAACACTCACCCACCGTTCGGCAATCGTGGTGTTTTAATGACAATATACCCCTCAAAACACAACATGTTGAACTTGAAACAAAATCGAGCGATATTCCAGGTGGGTAGAGCTAGCAGCACAAATTCCCACACCGGAAAACCGGTCAGCTTCACAGATTCTGAGGACGACACAAGCTCAACAAAACGCGGCAAAATAGATACGAACAAACAAAAATAGTTACTACTAGCCACATACAATATCGAATCTATATCTAAAGATGAAAAGGTCTACGAATTAGAAGGAGAACTATTCAAGATAAAGTGGGATATTGTAGGACTAACAGAAATGAAAAGAAGAGGCGAACAATGCATGCATCTAAACTCTGGAAATCGCCTATACTATACAGGGAAAATAGACGAACCATATGGTGGAGTAGGATTTTTTATCAAAAAGTATCTCACACCATACATTTCTATATATAAAAGCGTTTCTGATAGAGTAGCTTATATTATAATTTATAATAAACCTAGATAATAAAACCAAGCTCAAGGTTATACAAATGTATGCTTCCACAACAACACACCAGGAAGACGTAGTTGAAATGTTCTACGAAGATTTGATAGCAGCATTAGAAGAAAATGATACAAAGTATACCATCACTATGGGAGATTTCAACGCAAAAATAAGGTAAAAAAAGAAAATACTGAAACTAAAATAGGGATGCATGTTTATGGCACACAAAATGAAAGAGGAGAAAAATTATAGAACTTCTTAGAACAACGAAATTTATATGCCATGAACACACCTCAAGAAACCAGCAAACCAAAAATGGATATAGATATCTCCAGATAAGACGAAAAATGAGATCCATTAATTCTTATGTGGGAATAAAGACATTTTCAAAGATATAACTGCTCTCAATCGATTCAAAACTGGCAGCGAACATCGTCTTTTAATTAAACAGACGAAAACCAGTAGAAACATCCTCCATAATTATTGTAATCAGATCAAACTAAAATACAACAGAAGAACAGAAGTACAGAGAAATCTTAAGAAAAGAATTTGTAGAACCTTATCAACAAGAATATTCCGACATGAACACAATTAATAAAGAAATGGAACGAAAGCTCTCGAAAGCAAGACTGACTGTTGCAAAGAACACGAAAAATAAAGAAGACAAAATAAGTAATGGAACAAAACGGTTGATCGAAAAGAGACGCACATTTCTAAGTGAAAAAAGCGAAACACCAATGGTTTCAAAGAATTGAATAAACAAATAAAGAAGGGAGTAAAGGAATAGAAAAAACCGAGGCCTGAAACACTTAAGATCAAACTTAGGAAAGCCTATAATAATCTCATTAAAGGACAAAGATGGAAAAGAAATAAGAGAAAAGAACGAAATCCTAAAAGTTAATCAAACATTTTACCGCGATTTATCTTCCTCAAACAACAACCCAGATAACACTGCAAAGAAAGATCTTAAGAGATCGATAACGAATGTCAACTCAGAAATACTCCCTAGCATATAATGTCTTCACAAAGGAGAAGTCCCAGAGGATTGGAATGAAAGTTTGACAATATTTCTCTTCAAAAAGAGAGACAGGGGAGCTCTGAAGAACTATAGACCAATCTACGTGCTATACCAAATGTACAAACTGTTTACGAGAGTAATAACTAACAGGTTTACCTCGAAGATCGATAGCTATTAACTGGTAGAGTAGGCAGGATTTCGAAAGGGTTACAGTACAGCGGATCATCTTCGTACAGTACTGTTTATGAAAAGGCATTTAACTCTATAGAACTTTGGGCAATAGAGAGAGCTATGAACAATTGCATGATGGACTCCCGATAAATATTATTTACAAAAAAGCTACAATAAAAATACAAATAAATGCGCAAACCAATCAACAGAGGAGTTCGACAGGGAAATGTTATCTCACCAAAGCTATTCAAAGCAGATAAAGGAATAAATGTTAATAAAAGTAAACTATCATTTGAGATACGCTGATGACATTGTAATAATCGCTACAAGTGTAGAAGAACTGCAGACCATGACGATGCAACTATTTCAAGCTTTGAAAAAAGTACGTCTTAAGATGAACTTGGAAAAAAACAAAAATAAAGACAAATACACCGAACATTAGAAAAACAACGTTGAACGACATAAATTTAGAAACAGTAAGCGAATACATCTACCTGGGACAGATAATAAAAGTTAACATAAAAAAAAACAACCTGCCGAAATTACCAGAAGAATAAGGTTAGCGTGGGCAGGATTTGGAAAACTGAGTTGGATCTTGAAAAGCACTAAAATAGAACAGTATTTGAAAACCAGAATTTACGATCAGTGTATTCTCCCTATACTCACGTTAAGTTCACATACGTGGACACTCACCAAGTACAATATGGATATAATAGTAAAAGCACAAAAAGCGATGGAAAGATCAATGGTCGGGGTGAGATTTATAGACAAAAAAAAACAAACAAATGGATTAGAAGCAAAACCAAAGTAAAAGAAGCAGGAGAACATGCTGCCAAATAAAATGGAGCTTCGCAGGGCACAATATCGGACTAAAGCCCAATAGATGGAACCACGAAATACAACAATGGAGACCATGGTAAGGAAAGAGAAGCAGAGGAAGACCACAAATGAGATGGGCGGATGATATTAAGCAGATCGAAGGACACAACCGGAAGCAAGGGGTGCAAAATAGAAGACACTGAATTGATTTGGGGGAGGCCTATGTTGGATTACTTAAGGCTGAAGAAGAAGAGGAGAAAAATATCTCAGCTTAAATAAAACGAGTTTTTAGTCTTGTCCGTTTTCTGTTGGGAAGCCTGCTAAAACAGGTTGTTTCTGTTGGTATATAAACACACTTCAATGTTATATTACCACCAATTCTCCTCTTCTCAATATAAAAGTTGTTAGTTTTACGACCACAACTGGTCAGAAATGTTTTTTCCTAGTACCAACTGCTTCGGTAATTCATTAGAAAAACCAAGTTTTTGGTCAACTTGAAATTGGGTCAAAAATATTTATTTCTTCTCGGAACTCGTCAAAGGGCAATAAATCTTTTAGTTTTATTGTTTTATTACTATGCAGTTTCTTCGCAAATGTATAAAAAAGTGGCTTTTTAGAACCCAACGTTGGAACGTTTAAAGTTCGTTAAAGACAGTTAAAAATTTAGCGGGTCCCTTTCCTATAAAATGTTGGATTGAAGCAGCATTCAAAAACTCCGTTCTCGGTCTCCGTGCGGGAAAGTAGGTTCATTTCATACTTCGTTCTCAGTCACAGTACCTGACAGCAGGTACATCTCCTTTTTGGTTCTTGAAGAGAACTGGATGTACACAACTGTTTTCAATGCCGCCAACAAAACGTAAGTAAAATTGAATTTTTGACAATTTGTAAATGCCTAGTTAATAATTAAATTTGTTCTACACATACCGTTAGGAGGAATAACCCTTGCTCTAGCTAGATCTGCCTTGTTTCCCACCACAATCACACTTTTTTCTTGAGTGTATCCTTCTCTCCAAAGATAATTAAGTGTTTCTTCTGCATGTTGAAAACTAGATCTGGATACTACCGAATACACCATTACGCACGCATGAGGTTCATATGTACTTAGTGAATTTTCTACCTGAAATATAATACATAATTTATAGGCATTTTCTTCTACAATAATATAATTATTTTTATAAAAAAACATACAACACAATATTCATTGGTAAAAACTGATTTTAAATTTTTTTTTATTTTTAAATGCATATTTACAATCTACTCATAAATAGTACATTAGTAAATGTGATGACAATATTGACTTTATTTGGGTACCGTCCGAGAACCGACAGTTCTCCATTTTTACCTAGGTAACCAGGTATTCTGGCCAAGTACTCTTCCAGTGTTTTTGATTGGAAGGTCTGCAAAATTTTTGTATTTGAAGGCTTGCTACACCCCCAGAGTTCTACGTTTGTAAATCGTGTAAAAACGTGTGCAAATCAGAAATAAGGAAGGCGTTGAAAGAAATGAAAAACAACAAATCGCCTGGATAAGGTGGAAAAACTGCAGTGATGCTGAAATAGGGTGGAAAAGTGATAATTAATACTCTATATTCTCTTTTCAACAAGATATTAAAAGAAAAAAGAATCTCTAACAGCTGGAAAAATTCCGTAACCATTATCCTACACAAGAAAGGGGATAAAGCAGATATAAAAAACTACCGTTTTATAACACTCCTCAATGTAATTTATAAATGGATACCAGTCGAAAGAACAAGCTGGTTTTAGAAAGAGATTCAACACAAGTCACCATTTACTAAGTATGAAAATACTTATAGGACGAGCAAGTGAATACCACATTCCTCTATATATAGCGTTCATAGATTTCGAAAAGGCTTTTGACAGTGTCGAATATTGGGCAGTGAAAAGTTCTTTGATTAACAGCAGAATTGACCGTAGATATGCGGAACTAATAGCCAATATATATATATATATATATATATATATATATATATATATATATATATATATATATATATATATATAAGGAAGCCAAAACAACAATTAAATTATATGAAGGAACAAAAACAATACAAATAAATAGAGGCGTGAAACAGGGTGACACAATATCACCAAAACTTTTCAATCAGACTCTGGAAGATATTTTTGAACGATTAGAATGGAAAGAAAAAGGTATAAAAATTTGTGGACAACGCTTGAACCATCTAAAGTACGCTGATGACATCGTATCGATAACCGATAAAAAAGAAGAATTGTTTGACAAGCTGGAAAGATAGGCCTTAATATGAATTACAGCAAGATCAAAATCATAACAAATACAGATGAAGATTCACAGTGAAGATCGGACAAAATTAAAATTTAGAACAGTTTAGGATTATATATTATATATGATATATATATATATATATAAATATATATATATATTATATCGAAAAAAAGGAGTACGACCGTTCAATACCAATGATATATAGGATCACTCAGACGAGTGGTGGTTTTATATCGTTTCTAGGGGGAGAAATAAAAGACAATGTTGATAGGTACTTTATCTATTTCTGATAGACGTTTCGCTTTCGAGTTGTGAAAAGCATCCTCAGTTCATCTAAAAAATTACAATATGAGAACCCCACAATATGGAACGATGTTAATTGTTACCTTAAAAGACCATGTAGCAGTCATGTTATTTACAATAATTGAATGTAACTTATTCTCTATCATTAATAAATACCTTTATCACATAGCTATGGATCAATCAATCAATTTTTGCATACCCGATGGTGACCAATCAGAAACATCTTAATAATACTGTTCTTGAGAAATTACTATCACACCATTATTCTTCTTACCTTACTTCCCTCAGTTACTGTAGAATAGGTTATTAAAATTGTATAAAACAAAATAATATACCTGTAAAATTGCTGTTAAGAATGCTAAAACTGTTAGAAATTTGACTCTCTAAAACTAAACACCTTGTCATTTGGGTAACAAGTAACAAAAGTTATAAAATTCCAGCGCTTAATGCGATTTATGTTACATTGTTTCCAAACTGGTAGATCATTAAAAAGGTCGTCTCACTTCATCGTAGTACATTAATTTATCAAATCACACTTGTGCCCTGGCACAACATGCGATAAATACCAAACATGAGGTGGATTTCAATGAAGTTAGAGCGCTTTTGGGGCCACTGAACGCAATCTAGCTTATAAAGACAGTTTTTGGAAATGTGTTCAATACTAAAACACCTAATGCTTTGAATAAGAGAACTAACATAAGTAACTTGAGCCAATATATCATGCTTTAATTTTGCAGAATTAGGCTTTTGATCTTTTTCACTATATTAATGTCATATTAGGTGTACTGTTTGAACTTTTTACATTTTTCATAAATAATTTATATACATTAAATAGAAATAAATTACATAAATATATCCTTAATAATCTAATTTAATATTCTTTATTATTTACTATTACAGATTGCAACTTACATTGCATTTCCATACATGATTACTTTGATTAGTGTGAATAATTTTATACTAAATAATACATATATTGTAATTGATTCATAGAATCCTTTGCAAATCACAGTTCCAAGTATATTGAACTTGGGCTGTTTGGAAATTAATGAGTCGTTAACACCTGTGGCTGTTTACACTAGCATAATGATTACGTTATTACATACTTATGAGGTGGAATGAAAAATTCCGGTTTGTAAATTGGGCTAATTAGTGAGGGGAGTTGCATATTGCACTACCAACTTCTTCCACTGTTTTGTCTTTTGCAACCGGGTAGTTCATTCCAAACTCATTTTTATAACATAATTTGACCGCCCAAAGATTCTGGGTTGGTTCCTAAACCTTGTTGATCTGTCGAAAGTATTTGTGACCTCAGTTGGCTGTCTTTTCGCGGTTTAGTTCGTACGTGTTTCATCTAACGCCATTTTTCCGGTGACATGGTAGGGCTTTATCGGTAACTCATATATACTACTTTTAAAATTTTATTAAATATCACTTTTAATGCTAAAAATCAAGCTTAATATTTTAATATAAATAGTTGGAATTATCTATGATTTTCTTGGGTTCTTTCTCTCTAATTAACATTAAATACTTTATTTACTTTAGACCAACAATGGTCATTTGCTGTGCTAATTTTATAAGGTTCTTAGATGATGTTAGTTACTTAATTGTTTATACAAAATCGCGTATTATGTCCATTTACTTAGTTTCATTCTCCTTTATTGTTAATCCACATAGACTGCTACATGTCTTTTTAAGGTTAAACATTTTAACATCGTTCTCACTGAGGTATGTCTCATATTGTAATTTTTTAGCTGAACTGATGATGCTTTCAATATTCGAAAGCGAACGTCTTCAAAAGATAAAATTGCCTATCAAGCTTTGTCTTTTATTTCTCCACCTAGAAGGCCGATATAAGAACCCACCACTCGTTGAGTGATCCTTATATATATATATATGTATATAGTATATATATATATATATATATATTATATTTTATATATATATAGTATATTATATATATATTATATATATATATATTGTGACGTGTTAGACTGGCCATTGGCGACATTTTGGCAAACAAAGCTACATTCTCAAAAACAAAGGATATCACAGCATCTAAAATCAAAAAGATAAATCAATATGTATCCCTGTCTCATTTATGTTTCCAAACGTGACCATTTACAAAAGCAAACATGGACAAAATCATAAAAACCCAAAGAGCAATGGAAGGACAAATGTTGCACATAAGACTAATGGATAAAAAGAGAAACGAGTGGATAAAGGAGAAAACAAAAGTGAGGGAAGTTAGACAAGAAGTTGGGCCAAATGAGATGGGCAGATGGTATCAAGAAGCACTTGTGTTCTAGGTGGATGACTGTAGCGACAGGCAGAGAAGAATGGAAAAGAATTGGGTAGGCCTATGTCCAAAGATGGACCGAAGAAGACTAATTAGATAGATAGATAGATAGATATTAAAAAGAAACGGGACTCAACATACAGTCATAGAATATATAATCATAAAATCCATTTTTATGATTTGTCTGTTCTTGAATAGATTAGTAAAGTTGACCGCTACTTTCCCATTAATACCAATATTTACTATGCCTTTTTAGACAACATTCACATTGATCGCCTTTTAGAACAATAAAGAGGCATTAAAAATTCTCATTTTTTGATAAACAAGTCTGAATGTCCAGAACCAGCTGAGAAAGTACATTGATTGTGCTATGCCCCCGACAGAATCTGATAAAATTTCCTTCTTGTAACTTTTAACCTGCTTAAATATTGATTTCAACTGATCTCACAAATGAACACATGACATATGATACTCTAACGTCAAGCCATTAAAATTTCCGATCTGTATTTATAAACATTTTTGTAAAAGAATATCCAAATTATTCTGAATATAAACGATATTCTAAACGATAAACGATACTTCCTAAAAAGGGGTGTTGAAATAATTTCCATTGAGTACATATTCCAAATTGTTTTCCAAATTTAATTAATGGAATAATTGATTAATTTTATTTTGTGTTGTATTTTTCTTTCTCTGAAAATGCGCATTTGATATTCAGGGTTTAATTCATTGGTAAGCCAATAAAACATTATTGAATTCATGTGTGTAAAACCGTTCAAATATTAATGTTTATTTGACTTTTATTTAGAGTTGTTTTTTGAGTTCCATATTTTAGTCCAATAAAATATTTTCGTTGAATTTCGCTTTGCACATCAAAGCCTAGTACAAGTAAATTGTGTTGTAAGGTCTTCCGCACATGAAGCTACTAAAAAGAAACCAGTTGGTAACTTTAGTTACCAATCAGTTGCTTATTAGTTACCTACTGTCCATGTATTTTAATGAGTATCCGCACACAGCGCTACTAGTTAGTAACCGGTCTCTAATGCATCAATGATCAGTCGACAGCAGATTGGACGTGCAGTTCGCTTAGGGACTAGTTTCTAGTTTGTTGTGATATTTTTAAAGTTTACTTGCGAAATGGCGAAATTGGTAGAACAGTCGTTTAATATAAAATTAGTGCAAGAAGTGGAAAAAAAATTTATATTGTTTGCAATGTAGGGATGAAGACAATACCTCCTTTTTTTGCATTTTAC